TATTCAATGCGATAAGTTCTCATTTCATAGTAACGTACATTATTCAATAATCCCTGTTGAGATTCTGCTAAACTAGATATTTGGACTGCCGCCGTCGCACCTAAAAAGTTCAAAAGTTAATTTACTTGATTTTATTTAAATATTCATGTAAAATATTTCTTTAATGACATTTGTGGTCTTAATTTTTTTTTCCAGTTACCAAAAACTGGCTCTTTTAGATTTTAAAGAAAAATGTCATAAACAAGCACGAAACACTCTTCAATGACCACATGTGAACTCGCACATTAAGTATTTTAGATAAATATATGATAAATAGAATATTACATACTAAAATCCTATCATATGTCATATCAGCCCGAGTGGCCCCATATCAGCCCGCTATATGGATTTTAGTATGTAATATTCTCTATATATCTACCTGTTTCTTTATTCGACTTATGAGTATGAAGAATATTAATTTGGTAAGATCATACTCGCAAGCAAGATAAATAAAATCTCATGAAGACATATGGTTGGTTTTCCAGTTTCTAAATCGTGGTTGAATAATTAAACACTCTTCAATGACCATATGGGAACTCGCACATTAAGTATTTTAGATATATGATAAATAGAATACTACATACTAAAATCCATATCATATGTCACATCAGCCCTCGGGCTGATATGGGGCCACTCGGGCTGATGTGACATATGATATGGATTTTAGTATGTAATATTCTCTATATACTGTCCTAGAGAAAATAAGATTTTGTTTCCATTGTTAAACTATTGTTCAAGACACAGGCATTTGGGGGATGGACCCCCCTCCATTATGTATTTTTTTTTAATCTGAGGTCGAGGCACTGGTTTTTCCTATTTTTGTATTATACATGTATGTACTATTTGTTTTCGATAATGTACCCTTTTGTTGCTATTGGCTGTTTTAGATATACATGTATATAAATATTTTTTCTACTGATACATAAAAAGAGAACTTTTACATATCAGTCGATAAGGGGTTTTCCCCCTCCCATGGGTTGGGAGTAGGGATCTCCCGAAGAAACTTTTGTTTAAAAAGGCTTCAAATTATAAGTGGATCTTCCCGCACTTAAGGTTCATAAACCCTCTGCTCACTCATGTAAAATTTTTCTTAAAATTTATGATTTTCCAAAGGGAATGTATATGCTGAATAAAATACAAACATTTATAGCATGGCTTGCGGGGCAAAATTTGACAAAATAGGCTCTTCAATTTGACAAATTTAAAAGGGAATAATAGACATTTGTGTCATTAAGAGTTATCTCTCTTATTAGAGTATCAGTGTACCTTAAGATTGAAATAGTTTTTCTTTTCTTAATGGCCACCGATTTATTTAATCGGTCATTTTTAATATGAAAAGTGAGGCTGTAAAATCCTATATAGGCATGGATGTTCACTATATAGCTGTGTTGCATTTCACACTCAGCTGATGTCCAGTAATCATTTAACACTTTGGGGGAATCCATGTAGAAATCCCAACTACTGCCTGTTAACTTCAAATGTGGCTGTTCATGCTGTCTATCTAATTTGGATTACAAATAAATACTAATATTGTACACTGTCCAAAGACAAAATATATATTTTATAATCGAATGCCAAAAATGATTTAAAATGCAAACATTTTTAGAGGAGATCAAAAAACCAGGTTTTTGTAGAAAAAAAAATTAAATTGTTTTGGACCAGCAACTGCCCGTCACGGCACGGAACAATGAAATACTAAAACTGTAAATTGCAAAATACATACCGGTATGTGAATGGACTTGTGAAAAATGTTATAGGAATCTAAGGAACTCATTACGACTGCAAGTGAAAGCCCCCCTCGACGTCCGTCAGTTGGCATTAGACTTAATTAAGGATTGATTGTACATGTATACGAGTATTTGCCGATACGGCCATTGTATCGATTATAGAACACTCGAAATAATGACTTTAAACGAGACTGTTAATATTCTTGTTTCATTAACTTGTTTGTCATTAGCTTTTCTCGTTTTAGAAATTGTTATACATTGTAGATATAGATCATGCTCTTGCACATCGAGTCATCTGGAAGGCATACACCACATCTGCAGTTTCTAAGAATATTTTGCTAAACAATTAAGGGAAGTTTAACGATAATATAAGTTGAAGTTACATGTATCTATTTTATCATGACGTTTTGTTGTTGGGTTACATCGAACGCCTATACTAGTAAAATATCCAAATAGGAAGCATTTACTGGAAAAGAAAATCATAAAGACCATACCAGCAATCACCATCGTGATTTTTTTGTTCACTAAATGTCAGAACAAGGCGAGGAGCAAGTGTAGCTTCAGTTCTACGCCGAACATTAAAAAGTACTCGACTTTCGTGCGATTAGAGACCCTGATTACTAGACTACGCTATCTGAGTAAAATGACATGCATTCATTAACTAGAAAAATATTTTTCAGCCTTCTTCAATCAATGGCAAAACAATCGTCCTACAGAGATAACATTGCCACTAACACCCAGTCGAACGAGACTTTTAATATCTATCTCATTACATGCTAAACAATGATTAAAAGACAATAACTTGAATACGAGGATATTTTGCAGTGATCACATGTATATGTCAAAGGGGTCGCGACAAGAATTTAAGAAAAACCAATTCAGCACATTTAAAGGCTGGCTCACTGTCGAGTTATAGTGTAACTTTCTGCATATTTTACAAAGAGCTTCTTCGTACGTCTGCCAAGAGTGTTTTGATGTATACTTGTCTTTAGCTCTCAGCATGTTTAGATATTGTGTTTTATTATTTCCTATCTTCTTTAGGGTGTCTGCCAAGTCTTTGGGTGTTATGAAGTCCAGTGTATCTATATACGTCTCTGCCGGAATGTACTCTTTGCCTGTCATGGTTCCTCTAACAACAGGGATAATTGGAAGGTCCAACAAATAGATATGATACAGTTTCTCTGACGTGTAATCTATACACAACGAGTTCTCGAACGAAAGATAAAATTTGTAGTCTTTCGAGATTGCTCTGTGACAGGAATCGTTCCCTAAGAGTTGATACGACTCACATTTGGCGCCACATTTTCCAAACACATCTACATTCACATATTTCTGCAGTTCTTCTACATATTTCTCTCTTTTGCTTTGTGTTCTGCAGTTACTTACAATCCAAGCTACATCTCCCACCTTCTGAGAAAACACAGAGTCGTAATCTCTTTCTAAAGTGGAAATCCGAGGAATTATCTGCCCATAACCAAAATAGGCATCTGAATCTCTCCTATAGGACAATGACCAATCAAAAACACCATCCCAAGCAGGAAGTAATACAGTCCTTCGTGTATGATAAGGACTCTCCGAAAAAGTAAATATCCAAATTTGCCCGGGAAATTTTACCGGTGGTTTTTCAGGCAGTGGGTGATGTTGAAAAATCACAGCTTTACTGTTCTTGAGCTGTGACTTGTACGTAGTAACGGAGCAGTCTTTATACGGACATTCAAGGAAATTCACGATGTCTGGACCCTTATTCCAGTCCCGGGGTGGATTATAGTACAGAATATTGAAACTGATGTTCCTCTTTTTATACATGTCATCCGAATCAGTCTCCTTTGTCGATCTTCTATAGACAGGGAATACACGTTCTTGGACCAGGAGAGGAAGAGAGAATTGGTGTACAAGAATAAGGAAAAGAACAATGCTAGAGAAGAACAAGTATTTTTTCATACAACGACTGGAAGGTATAAGCATTCTGAAAATACAGGAAATTTCCACCTAATATTTCTTCCAAAGTTTTGTTATGTACAGCGAATTCAAGGTGCCAAGTTGTTTAAATTACATGCGAAGCAATATGTTGCAAAGGACATTCAATCTGGTAAGATTCCATCGCATCTTAAGATAAAAACAGTAAGAAATCGATACGTATACCCCGGTTCAATTAAAATTTAAATCAGTGGGACTTTTGCACTGATCTGTGAAGAACCATTGTTTTATGTCGTATGGCCTCGAGGTGAGATTGTCAAAATGGAGTCTTTCACATAGGTTACACAGTGCAGACTGGCAAATATCATTCAAACTTTTAGATACAAATTCATCCCTTCTTTTAAGTAACCTGACATACTCTGAAACATTACTTCCTATGTGTTTTAGATACTTTGCTAGGTGTTTTGGAGATTCAAAGTCATTAGTGTCGATGAATGTTCCTTGTGGCAGATACGATTTTCCATTAGCAGCCCCACGAACTACCGGAATTATTGGTGTGTCGTATAAATAAATGAAATAAAATTTTTCGGAGGTATAATCTCTACAGAGAGAATTTTCAAATGACAAATAAAATTTATAGTTGTGGGAGACCAGGTGGTGACAGGTGTCATTTTCATTTCCAGTTTTTGGACCACAGAATAAATCCCCACATTTACCAAATGTATCCACTTGAATATGTTTCGCCAGTTCTCTCACATACTCCTCTCGTCTGCTTTGGGTTTTACAATGACTTACTATCCAAGAAACATCAAACTTTTTCAGCAAATAAATAGCAGAGTAATTCCTGCCAGAAGGAACTGTACGGCGCTTGAGTTCGCCATATCCGTGATAAAAATCGCCATCTAATCTGTACGTCATCACCCAATCAAATTTCTTGTACCATCCTTGAAGAGCACTCGTATTGTGTGTATTTACTGGACTCTCACTCGAGGCAAAAATCCATTTTTGGCCTGGTGTCTTTGGCGGTGGAGACTCTGGCATAAGGAATTGATAGAATATCACAGCTTTGCTGGACTGCATCTGACTTCTGTCGGTTGTAGCTCTGCAGTGAGGTATTCGACAAGAAGAAAAAGTCCAGGTCTCTGGTGAAATATGCGAAGGAGGGTTGAAATACAAAACTGAATGCACAGCTGGTTCATTTTGTTTGTATTGTTTTTTGTTGATTTTAACCCTCTCAATGGTGAAGCACTGTAAGATGATCATAATGATACCTATACATACAATCACGGAGAAGTACTTCCTTTGGTTTGTCAAGGAAACTGTGTGAAACTGGAACATATCAGTATAGACAAAATCAGAAATTATATCTTGTATGGATCATTTACACTGTCTAAACGAGGAAGGCGAATGGATTAAACGACTAAACGCCATAATTCACAGTAAAGCTACCATTATTCAAGCATTATAGATTAAAGGTATAGATAAATTATCATCCCAGATCGTGAAGTAGACAATTAGTATTGTTTTATAGGCCAATTCTCTCTTTCCTTGCGAGGTCTTTCCGCAGCTTCCAGCATTCTGAGTGTTTGTAAATCGTTGCCTACGGACCATATTTAAGATCAGGTGGCCAAAAATAGTCTCCAACAACGAACTCAGGGAGATGTCAGGACAGGAAGACATAGTGGTGCTTTTAAAATGGAGATTGTAAGAAGAAAGTGGAGATGGGTTGGACATGTGCTCAGGAAAGACCATCATAACATCACAAGAGAGAGCATATTCTGGACAGCAGACGGCAAGAGAAAAAGGGGCAGGCCAAAAACAACATGGCGTAGAACATCAGAGAAAGAGCTAAAAGAAATAGGGATGACATGGAGAGAAGTAGAAAGAAAAGCAAAGGATAGGACTGGGTGGAGAGACTGTGTGGCTGCCTTATGTGCCACCTGGCACGAAGAGGCCTAAGTAAGTAAGTAAGTATAGGCCAATTCTGGGTATTTAAACAATAACTAGTCTATAAACACCGGTATAATACTGAAAATAAATGAAAAATGCATGTGAATAAAGAAGTATTTTAGCTCACGTGAGCCGAAGGCTCAAGTGACATTTTCTCTGATCTAAATTTCTCACTGCCGTTTTTTGGCCATTGGCGAGGCCTTTTCCTAATCTTCTAAAAAAAAAACTACTGAGCAAGAAAAGGTAAAACGTAAGTGACTGCTTCCTGGGGGAATGTAGTTTCAAGTTTGTTCCATTTATGACCATGATGACTCCATGGTAAGGATGGGGCACTTGGGGCGATTAATTTTTCCATGGGCATACGAATGGAAAATCTTGAAATTTTTTTCTTCCCAAGATTAGAAAAGACGTGATTACTAGTAGTCATTTTTATTTCAGCATCCCCAGGTGGTGTAGATTCAAGTTTGATCAAAACATGATGCTAAGAGTAGCATGGGTAGGATGGGACCATAATATTGTACATAGGGATATATAGAAAAGAGACGCCAAATATGAACTCAGGTAGCGTTGTGTCCTAAGGACCTTTTTTTCAGCATTGTTATCAAAATAAATACAAAGTTTAAATTTGATCAATGCACTATTGATGTGCCTCTTTTTTATACATATTTTAAATAATTATTTTAGAGAAAATTGTCATTAAAGCAGAGCTATATAATGCAATGTACATTAGTGTGCTTCGCGTGAAGCCTATTTGCATTTAAATTTCTTTAACTTAACAAATTGCATTTATTTTTCTGTGAAGTAAACATTAAAGTGCCTTCGTGTGAATAGAACATTTAATCTTAATGTTTCACATAATTTGATGTCAATGATATTCGCCAAATTAATTTGAATTAAACTTAGTATGACTTACATACCGGTAATGTAGCTCTGTAAATTCGAATGCTGTTCAATTTGTGCACAGTAGGTTACATTTGATTCAAATAAATCTGATTTTCATATAAGCAGGGAATAATTCTTTTAGGTAATATAGATTTTTAGCTTACTTCAACGAAGCTTATGTAACAAGCATAGACGTTGGAAGCAAATTGAAAGTGTGTGTGTGCTGGGGGGGGGGGGGGGGGGGGGGGGGGGGCTAAACCAATAAAAAAGGTAATCCCCAATTTTCAATGCCTATATTATGTCTATCTTTGCAAAAAAAAAGTGGAAGGGGGCTAAGTCCCCCCCCCCCCCCCCCCGGTTCTGACGCCTATGACAAGGGCACCGCAAAACAGAGCGCCCCCTCGAAAAGAGCATATCTAAAAATCAAGCCAGCATTCGACATCGATTCCGTTACAAATTACGTCACTACACTTTCGTAAAGGATTAACCCACTCATCAACAAACAGACACACAAACACACACACACGATTGCCTTACTATATCCCCTCCAACCCCGTCGCGAGGGGACAATAAATCTTTTGCATGTGTAGTCATAAATGTTCCCGGTTAAAAAAAGTATTAGAAGCAGATTTTTATGCCCGACATTAATCATAGAAGTACATTGTAAGGACGATACTTTTATAATGTTCATTGTACCAGCCATGGTTTCAGATGCATTTCAAAAAAAAAACTTGCTCCATAATCACTACCCTGCCAATGAAACTAGGACGCAGGTGGTAATGCTGATATCAGGAAGAGGATAGCACTGGGCGGCACGTCCTTCAGTAGGCTAGCCAACATCTCGAACCCCACAAACATCAAAGAAAGGTAAAAATCTCCCCTTCAATTAAGAACCTGGTTCTGTTTTGTTATACGGGTGTGAGACTTGGAAGCACTTGAGACAAAGACAGAGGATAAGAAGATTTCAGACATCTTTCAGACCAAATGCATCAGAAGGATTATTAAGGTCAGATGACAGCAGCATATCCCCAAAACACAGTTCTGGGGAAGACAGGAGCAGAAAACATATGGGGAGGATCCAACAGATGACTGTGTTGTGGCCCTCGGGTGGACACCTGAGGGGAGAAAGAAGCGAGGCCGCCCCAAGACAACATGATTGTTTTCAATTGTGCATTAAGATGCATCTATTGATGGACACTACCAGTCTTCAGATGCTGAATTTGATCCTACATACTCTTGTTGAACGATAAGGATGAGTTAGGAGCAGGCTCATTCCAGTGTTACTTCGTTCCCTTAATGGATCAAGCTTGCACCGATTTTGCACATAGTGTGGACCCATTTATACTTGCTTTGGATGTTATATTTGACGTAAATTTTCTGAATGAGTCACCAGGTTTAAGAAGCAGGTTCATTGCGGTGTAAGTTCAAGCTTTACCAGGACCACACTTGGACGAATAGTGTATTGAAGACTTCGGATGTTGGATAGACCGAATATCTGAATGAGTGACAACGTTAAAGGTTTTGAAGCAGGTCCATTCCAGTTTAATTTTTAGGAGTAAACGTCCATTTCAAGGAGTTAATTTCTACTGATGTTACAACTAGACTTGGATGCTACTGACTTATGTCGAATGCTGAATGTGTGAATTACGCTCTCTGGATTATATAAAAGTTGAACAGTTCATTCAAAAGTGATTACAAGGCCTACCCATAACAACCATGAAGAAGTGTACTCAAAAAGACTCGCTTTTCTTGCTATATCTAACCTGAATTTCTGGACGAGTGACCAGTTTAAGCTTTAGGTCGAGTCCATTCTTTTGTAACTGCAAACAATATCCCAACTAAATTAGCAAAAAACTTGCATCGGGATGCGAATAACTAAATTTTGAGCATACATGATCTGAAAGCTCAAGTGAACTTTTCTTATCACCTGTATCCATTGTCCGTCTGTCTGTCTGTTCACTATGACTTGTAAATATTTTGAACTTCTCAAAGTCAATTTAACTAAAATTGGTACAAAGCATTCTTGGGTAAGGGAAATTTCCATTGTCATAAAAATCATAGGTAGTATACATTCAGGTTGTTAATATTATGTCTCTCTGTTGCTTCCAGGGGGGTAGGTTTGGGCCACAGTGGACAAGGAATATACAAAAACAAACTTCTGAAGTATAACAATATTAGTCATACATGTATTAATATGGGCACATTCACAGATAGTGTGCATTTAAGTTTGGTGCATCGAAATTGGTACATTTATATAACTTATCTTTCCACCAGGGGTAGGATTGAGGCATATATAGAAAGTTATCAAAGGTAGAGGAGAAAATCGGAGATCTGAATCATATCATAAACGGTGAAGAATTGGGCCACATTAATTTTTACATAATTATTTATAAAAAATATTTCAAAATATTCCTCCCTGAAGAACTTAAAACCAAGAGTAGTCTTATTATACCCACCCCCCCGCTTGAAAAATCGGGAGGGTACATAGAAATCGGGATGTCCGTCCGTCCCTCCGTTTGTTACGCTTTGGGGTACCCATCTCTTATCCACAACTCCTCTTATACCACTTAATGAAATTAGATGCGACTTTCAGAGAATCTTTATTAAATAAAACCATTGTGCAACTCCTATTTTTGTCCCCCGCTTGAAAAGTGGGGGATATTAATTTGGGTTTGTCCGTCCGTCCGTCCGTCCGTCTGTCCGTCCGTCCGTCCGTCTTTCTGTCTGTCTGTAACGCTTTCGTTTCCACACGATATCTCGAGAACCCTTTGAGCTTTTGCAATGAAATTTAGCATAGCAACTCCCTATGGACTAAAGAAGACCCCTATTGATTTTGAGGTCAAAAGGTCAAAGGTCAAGGTCATAAATAAGCAAATTCTGTCTGTTAAAACACTTTCGTTTCCACACGATATCTCTAGAACCATTTGAGCTATCGCAATGAAATTTTACATAACAACTCCCTGTGGCCTAAAGAAGACCCCTATTGATTTTGAGGTCAAAAGGTCAAAGTTCAAGGTCGTAAATTTATACATTCTGTCTGTGTGTAACACTATCATTTCCGGGCGATATTTTAAGAAGATTTTGAGCTTATGCAATGTAATTTTATACCAAAACTCCCTAGGACGTCTCTCGTGCCCCGCCCCGTTTGTTTTATTAGTATTTATAGTATTACATGTCGCTATTTTTAGCGCAGGGGCATGAGGAGAGTTATTGCGTATAAAACAGGTTCTCGGCGGACTTTATGTTCTTATTACATCTATTATAACTGTTTGATAAAGGCTAAATAAATCAAACACCATGGATTGTGTAAATTTTGAGAATACCGAACATGAAAACATGAATATATACATGTATGTGACTTCAGTTCTGCATATACTTCACTCTGTTTAAAGCGACTCCTTGGTCCAGTGGTTATGTCTCTCGCTTCAAGTGTAAGAGGTCCCGGGATCGAATCTCGGTCGAATCTTTCTTTTTTTTTTTTTTAAATGCTTTTTTTTTTACTAAATGATAGTATTCAGCATGTGAAATGAAAAATGTATGAGGTTATAAAATCATCATTACAGTGTGATAAATATTCCATATAAAAAAATCTTCTATACACATAATAAAGAATAAGCAATCAAATCTTTATATGCATATTGACATACATGTATTTTATTTCCTTCAGTATACATGTATACATTTAATAATTCTACAAATTCAGTCAGGGGGAGCCGACTTTTTCCCTAAGCGGGGGACACGAATTCTCTGAATTAGCTTGTACTTTTTGATCCGACACATATTTTGGGTTTCACATTGCAAAACATGGACACTGCCATTATATGCATTATATGGGGAGGCGGGGGTATCATTTAGTGAGCTCATTGCTCACAGTACCACAGTACCTCTAGTGTATAGAAAAGCATCACCAGGCAGTAATGATTCAATTTTATTTTAAATTATAACCTCATTTTATAGGATGGTGACGCAAAATGCGGTCAAAATATTATACTGAAATAGACATGTATATAAGGAAAAATCTTATAAAGAAGACCAGGTCTAAGGTGATTCGGTGTGGCAGAAGGGCAGTTGTTTTTATCTACTTCAGCATTTTAATCATACTAAATGATTTTATGACGAAGTACACACATGGCAAATGAGGTACCGGTATGTTAAAATCCATCAACTGATGTCCTCTAAGTTTCCGTTGTTTTATTTGGCTTCCAACTGTTTGAACGTGCTTCACTAGATTTTCCTAAATGTATTGGTGGGATACATTAAGTGGCTTTTATTCTTTGCCCCTGAATAACTTACATTTATCCCTTAAAATAAGCGGATTCGCTTCAACCTTTATTTAAGTACTTCTGGGCCATTTTTCTGTTGATTGTTCCTGTTTTGAAAGTGATGCCAGTTTTATCAGAGGATTGACAGAGTTGTTCATCGAAGAACCATTCGGCGATATCCAGATCTAGGCGCCCTGGTCTACCCAGAGTAAGACCCTCGCACATCTTACACATTGCATTCGTGAATGTCTGGTTTGAAGTTAACGAAGTAAATCTATCTTTCTTTCTCAAAAGATCTATATAATATTCCCTATTGTTACCCAAGGCTACTAGACGTCTTGTAAGATGTAGCGGAGTACGGAACTTATTGGCATCAATGTATACAGCTCCATGTGAGTAGTTTTCGAGGGTAAAAGATCCTAGAACAACGGGAATTATTGGTTTGTCGTACGCATACGCGTAGTAAAATTTCTCGCTCGTGTAGTCTCGACACAGGGAGTTTTCAAACGCCAGAATGAACTTGTAATCTCTGGCTACAAGGTCATGACATGTGTCGTTTTCATTTCCTTTGAATGTTTCACACTTGAAGCTCCCACAACTCCCGAACACATCAACCTTTGTTATCTTTGACATCTCTTCCACATATTCTTCTCTCTTACTTTGTGTAAAACAATGGCTAACTATCCAGGCGACCAGTTTCTTTTTCTCTTCGTAGATTTTTTCGTAATTTTTCCTTGTCACTTCCTTTTTAGGAACAATGTCACCATATCCAAAGAAGAAATCTGAGTCTCGTCTATAGGACATGGTCCAGTCGAACTTGTAGCGCCATTGCGGGGTAGTGCAAGTTTTGACGCCATAGTGAGCACTCTCGGAACAAGTAAATATCCATTTTTGTCCCTGCTTTTTGAGAGGTGGATAAGCTGGGAGACTAGCATGGTTGAATATAACCGCATCACTGTTGTTTATGTTTGCTGTTTTGTTTGTAGATATTATACAGTCCTTGTAAACACAGTTACTGAAATCAAATCCACTAAACCAAGATGGCGGATTAAAGAACAGAATTTTGACCATGGTAACATTAGGATAGGATGTACGTGAACGACCTCTGCCGGGGATATTTGGCCTTATTATCCGAAAACCATGGAAAACGCTGAAGATCATGCACAAAAATGATACTATTCCAATGAAATACAGTAAGATCATTTTAAACTTTCTGAGCCTAACAAACATGATTACTATCTTCATGCGAAAATAAAATATTCCTGTTGCATAATCTTAAGAAAACAATCCTTGTGCTATTGAACATGCTTCCTACTAACAAAAAAATGGTAAACGTTTTAAGACTTACTTTGTGTTTACTGTTATTGTGTATATAGAATTCAACAGCTGTACAAGCTATTGTTGCATATCGATTCTAATTAGTCTTGACAAAAGGCGTTTCTGAACGCGTCCGACCAAGCTCTTCTCATAGCGTTCTGTCGCATGCAAAAATCTACTGAAAATATTAGATTCATTAGATTTAGAAATCAATCATATTTACTTAGACATTTTATTAATGAATTTTGTTATATCAGCATTATATAAATGAACTTTCATAACTAATTTACGATCATCGAAATGTAGCAGTTTGATTTTGATTATAAAATTCTGACAGTACATAGAGATTAAAAATGCGAAAGTTATTGCATAAGAAATTACTTTTATAACAAATAATTATGTAAATACGTCGTTAATTTTGCTTTATATGTCATATTGTGCACTGAACTGCTATGTATGACTATCCTATAATTATTGGTATTTTCACTTGGTTTTACCTACAATATGTTTTTTTCTAACATTTTTTTGGTCAAAAATTAAAATCTTCAAAAATGTCATATTGCACATTTTTCCTTGCCAAATCTCTGTTTGATCAATCACCTTATTCCATTTACTAAAAAATATAAATTGTAGGTTTATATTTAAGATTTAAAATAAGTCAACCTAATGAACATAACCTTAAATATAAAGATTGTAACAGAAAATTTCCCCCACAGTTCGTTTTCTGCCGCTAAGCAGCCATGTCAGGTGTCCGCTGTAAATATAACACCTGGTTAATTCTATGTTGTTACATTAAAGTTGTATGCTACATGTTGTATGATGCGTCTAGTGTGTTGGTGTCTGTGTGCTCCTCACCTATTGCCTTCAGCCCTCGCCGCTGTCTAGCGGCATTGCGAATAGGGAAGCAATTTGTAAGTCTTCCCCTCCAGCACAAAGCCTCTCCACAACAAGTCATATGTGATGCCTCCACTCGGAAGCAGACGGATACTGGGCACTTTTCGGCCACAGGCTAACTTCGCAAGTTCGCACGGGAAGAAATGACTCGAAAGCCTTGACGGCAACTCATCTACTAGAGAAAACTCTGATAACAATCCGGATTTAGTTGATGACCGTTAGCAACAACTCCTTTCCCCTCCACAAACACACAGACATAAGGTTGGACTGGAGGCTTATCACCTCCTTCCAAAAAAAAATGATTACAGAAACCGTTACAACAATTAGTACCACTGAAGGAAGGGCAAGGGCGATATGCGAGATTCAAGATGAGGATTACCTTCATTGGGAATTCGAGAGACTGACAGCAATTAGGAAAAGCCGAATGGACCCTGATGGTCTGAAAGGAACCCAGATGCCATCCATAACAACACCTAAAACAACACCAAGATCGGATTTTGGAACGTAAGAACAATGTTTCAGATTGGAAAAACATCTAACATTGTAAGAAAGTGTAACAGATATGAGTTTGACATAATGGGACTGGGCGAAGTAAGATGGACAGGGTTTGGTGAACTAAAGACAACCTGGGGAAACCATCTTGTACTCCGGAGCTGAAGAACATCATAGAGGAGTAAGACTTATACTTAGCAGGAAAAGCCGACAAATCTTGGTGGAATGGAATCCTGTTTTAAAACATAACATAAATTGCGATATTGAAGTAAGCTTCACCCTGCGATATTTATACAGTTAATAATTACGAAGAGGGACTGACATTCAATGGTAAATTTAGAAATATTCATTAACAATTTTTTTCCAAAATGATGTTTTTGTCGTCGAAGCTGCCTTGAAAAGTGTAGAAATTATCCCACCAAAAAGTGAAATTAAAACAAATGCTTTCAGATAATGTAAACACTATGAATATTCTGAAATATTTGAGCATATACATGTAGTGTTATCTAACATATTTATTATTTGAGCATAACATTTTGCATCATGGACCCAGTAATGGAACCGTAAACCTCATGTACGTAAACGTCATCCAAACACTATACAGGGCGATGTTTATGAGGCGATATCTTTTAAATAAGCCAAGAAAACTCATGACAGGACCATTTTAAAATGTTAAGTACATAATAAATTAGTAATATAAAAAATACGAAAAAAATCATTGACCCTTGTGAAATAATTATATAATGAAACAGCAGAAAAGATCTTGGGCCAGAGGAAAAGGAAACACAAAGATTGGCCTACTGTAGAAACATACAGAGCCATAGACGAAAGAAGAAAACTAAAGGAAGAAATAGGAAGATCAAATTCGGAGAGATTAAAGGAAATTTTAAGAAAAGAATATAAAACCAAAGACAAAGAAGTGAAAAGAAGAGCAAGAGCTGATAAAAGGAAAAATTTGGAAGATATAGCTAACCAAGTAGAATATGCAGCAAATACAAACCATCTGAGCGAAGTTTACCTCTTAACCAAGCAGCTTTCTGGGGAAAAAAGAAACAGGACAAGTGGCAGTACGTCCAAGTATGGTGAACACTCGCGATTTTTTCACTGCCATGCGGCTTCCACTCTTCGGTGTTTTTTAGTTGCAAGATCTAGCAGGAATTAACCTTCCTCACATATGTTTTGACAGGTCCTTTCACTACCGTAAATCTGGAAATTTTTACGTCGATTTTATTTTGCGAATTCGGGTCAAAATGGTTTTGATTAATTTTTACGTTTCAAAATTTTGCGAATTACCACTACTCTGTTTACATTTTCTTATTGGTAATTTATTTTTAAGAAAAATATTTTTGCGAATGCAATGAACTCGCCAAGAACTTTATTCGGTAATAACAAATATTTGCCCCCCAAATCAAACTTTGATGGAGATATATATTTAATTAAGTTCTTAAACAGGGGCGTATATGCTGACTTCAAAGCACTGAATATTTTCATAAGTAATGACGCCATATGTACATAATGACGTCACAAACATGACGTAAATTTCAGTTTTTTATGAATTTTACAGAAAAATGTACATATTTTGTCGATATTTTAAGTACATAATAAATTAGTAATGTGTGTTCAGGATCAATATTTTGATATAATGTGTAGAATGATAATATATAATGAAATATATCAATATTGTTCCTGAACAAACTTGCGAAACTATAAATTTTGAAGCTAAAATTGTTGAAATTTTGTCCATTTTGTCCTCTTTCTGAAAAAGGATATAAAATCGAGACTAGAAATTTGTGACGAATCATAAAAACAAAAACTGTGAATACACTGCTTTGACACTATAATATTTTCTGTTAATTTATATTTCTCATACAATGAATTGAATTCAGCACATTTCAGGAAGTTTTCAAAATATGACTTCTGTGGGGGCAAATATATGCAATATACCGCCTATAGTTCTTTGCTAAAAATTTATCTATTGCAAAAATTTCCAGATTTACGGTATTTTTTTCAGTAATACTAAAGGCTATAGTCTTCCCTCATATAGATTGCTCAGGAAATCTATGACATCCAACTTGTATGGGGATATAACCATGTCATCCATCATTTCAGGTCACATTGTTCTTTTGGGCTAAATGATAACTTCGGCAAAATTAGCTCGATGATTATGAATCAACCAGCATCAGCCACGCCGATCCATCTAACAGTTTTCTATTCGTTTCTTCTACTGGGTTGGTTTTTTCCCCTGCACAAACTCTGTTGGTACCGACTTAGTGTCATGGCTGGTGTTCCTTCTCTTCATATGTAAGGTCAGCCAATATTCGGAGAACAATTCCTCCACCTGTGTCTTCTTTGCTGAAGTGCTACTTTCCTTTCAGACAAGATTTGTGTAAGTGTTGTTCTTTCTCCACATAGTGGCGGTGAATCTGTAAGAAGATGACGGGAATACCTCAATAACTAACCCCAGGAGGAAGAAATAAACTAGAGCTCTAACCTACAAACATCTGATCATATAATGGCCCCCTTCTTATTCACATCAATTTAGAGAAAAATTACATTTTCAATTACCTTCACTTTTGAGACATGACCATGGATCAAGACTGCTATAAACTAATCATGGAAATTTGTTTTTTAATTTGAAGTACATGCATGGCATTTAATTTATTGCTTGCCCAAACAAATCCTTCAATTAATAGCAGTAATAATAAACAAGATATTTAATCAATGTGAAACATGGAGATTACAAAATGTGAATCAGTTTAACAATACAATCAGAAGCAGAGACTGAAACATCAGAGGTGGGATCAGGTGATACAGAGGAGTAAGCAACTGAGGAATAGCAATAAAGTAGATGGTATCAAATTAATCTTTTCTTGCCTTCAAAAAGAAAATTGCAAAATATCCACAGGGACTATTTCATGATGGTTAAGACACACGATATCACAGTAAAAATTGTCAGAAATTGTATAAAAAAAGATGATGAATTTTATATTAATATCAAATTAATCATAAGAAAGACTCTTTATATTAAGAAAGAAAATATCATGATTCGATAACGGAGATTCAGCATATGACACAGCTGTGAATATTGACCCTTTTATTTACAAGTGGCATTTTTCATGACGAGAGTGCTCCGCATGTAATTGAATTAATCATTTCTTTTGGACTAAGTGAGATTTAACATAACCTATTAAGATTTCAAGGTGTTTAAAAAAATCTTAGGGCGAATAATTAACACCAGATAAACCGTAATATGTATGATATTCGATAAGTTATCGAAACTTAGCTATAATATAAAAGAAATACCAGGTTTGGATATTTTAGACCAAACCTGAAAATCCTAGCTTTTGACTGGTTGGACACATGACAGTAAAACTACTTTCCAGCAAGCATGAAACTGGTGAGTTGTAATAATCTTCTAATATTGAAGCGGCTCATATAAGGTTATCATTTTAAAATGTATCCAGTGTGTCTTTATCTGTAAATATTTTCATGTTTTTTTTTATTTACAATTCTAAAATAGAAAAAAATTGAAATGTATTTTTGAAGAAGACTTTTATTAGAAAGATGGCAAGTATGAGGAAATTATCTACTTTAAAGCCCTGCAATTGCAGCCGCTAGTCAAGTGTTGCAATATTGGATTATAGTTTTCTATTTTTTTTATATTTATTTTATAATATTGGCTAAAACTTGATCACATGA